GTATATTCATCTTACGGGCAATGCAGAATTTGCTGCATCGATCGTATGAAGGGACACGATGGCAAAAGGTGCCTTGTTCTTTCCGAGCCTGACACTAATCCTCTTGCTGGTCTTGATACTTGCAGACACATTTTCATCACAGTCGTCGTCCTTGCCTTCGTGGTCGTCGTGGATGGTTGTCGTGGTCGTCGCTGTTATCGCTGCCGTCGCGGCCGTCGTGGTAGTCGATCTCGTGGTGGTCGTCGAAGTCGTGAGGTTCGTGGTCTTCGCCGTCGTCGTGGTCGTCACTGTCGTCGCTGTCGTCGTGGCCGTCATGGTCGTCACTGTCGTCGTGGTCGTCGTGGTCGTCGGCGTCGTGGCGGTTGTCCTGGTGGTTGAGGTCGTCGTGGTCGTCGTGATCTTCGTCGTCGCAGCAGTCTTAGACTTTGAATTTCAATTTTTGGTTGAGGCTCTAGGGTTCGGGCTTTTGGGTATGGCGGGTATGGGTTCTTAAAATTTGTGGGGTTCAGGGCCTGGGGGTGTCAGAGATTGAGGTGTTCAGGGGCTCGGGATTGTTATTGAGGTAGCCTATCTTCTCTGCCATGGCTTTAACTAACTATACATGAAGCATGAAAAAAACTAGATAGTACTATTTCTTGAAGCTCCGATAGCACAAGCTCCACAAACCAACATCTCTAACCGGCACAGCTGCATTTCGCGTGTGGCTTCGTTCAGCTGCACGTACTTCCGCTTCCTTGAGGCAGAGGCTTGGGAGGCCTAAACCCTAAACCCTAAACCGCATAAAAGGAAGCTGGGGCTGAGGCTTCAGTGTAATCTAACTTAGACAGACTATGTTGTAAGTATATTCGGGAAATGTTTGATGCCGCCCAGGAGTCTGCAAGCGGCATAGAGAAGGTCCCTTGCACCGATACCCTTGTGCTCAAAACCTCCTGAGCAACACTAAACTCAGAAATCACCTGTCCTAAACTCTAAACCCTCCGTAAAACCCCAGAAAAACGCCGAACATCCTTGCAACCCTCTTAAAATCATCAGAAGCGAGCTAAAGCCCCAAAGCCTAAAACCGCAAAACCCTAAAAAATTGCCGAAACCAAGGAAGCCCAGGAAACGCTCCAAAACCCTTGTGAAAACTTGCAGAATCAGACCCAAGCTGGAGATCCAAGACAGAAATCGGGTTTAGGGTTCAGGGCTCAGCTTAGGGTTTAGAGATTAGGGTTTAGGGTTCAGGGGTGTAGTTTAGGGTTTAGAGTTTTGGTTTAGGGTTCAGGGGCTTAGTTTAGGGTTTAGAGCTTAGGGTTTAGAGTTTAGGGGCTTCACGGATGGAGTCGAAGGAGCCAGAAGACTTCAGCAGGACCGAGTTTCCGATGCCGTAGCCGGAGCCGGTGAACCCAGAGACTCCAATATCCCTGAATTAAGGAATATACCTTGAATTATAGTAGGATCCCGAAATATGATTTATATCCCTTAATAAAGGAATATACCTTGAATTATAGTAGGATCCCTAATATGATTTAAGGTATATTCCTTAATTGAGGGATGTAACGAGTCCCTGGAACCGCCGTGCTTCCGGCTTAGGGTTTAGGGTTTAGGGTTTAGGGTTTAGGGTGTAGGGTTTAGGGCTTAGGGTGTAGGGTGTAGGGTTTAGGGTTTAGGGTTTAGGGTTGTCGGTCGCGCCGTCATCGCTGCACGTGCCGTCGGCGCCACCGAGAACCGGGCCGGCGAGGCATGTTCAAAGGCTCGAGGTGGCAAACTCGCGTGCCAAGCTGCCGTGGTCCGCAAAGCTGGGGAGCTAGTGCGTATATAGGTTGAAGCGAAACTTTGGTGCTAGTGTTTCGGGTTTAAGTGAAAGTTGGGGTGCTGGAGTTTAGGGTCTGCGCCGAAGTTGAGGTCGTCTTTAGGGTTTAAGCTCTGGCAGACTGCTGGTCCCAAACTCGAAACCCTAAATCCTAAACCCTAAAACCAGAACTCCAAGCCCTGAGCCTAAATCCTACAACCCAAGCCTCAAATCCTAATCCGAAACCGAGATCCTTGAAACCCAGAAGATGTTTCACATTCAGTTTAACCAATCCAAAATGCTATGCATGCTATGCAATTACTATAGGGCCTCAATAATTACCTGTTTTGGGGGGGTCCTTATTATAATTTACTATAAANNATAAAGGACCCCGAAACCCTATTCTAGCAGTTAAGGCCGATATACTGTAGAAATCCTTGACCGGAAACAAGAAACCCGATACAGCCTCAACACCTCCAAAGAGCCAGAAAACTTCAGAAAGCCCAACAAGAAGAAAACCTGCAGCCCAACCGCCCTAATGCCCGAGAGCATAGAAAAGGAAAAGGCCTCAGAGAAGCCGCAAGTCAGAGCTTGCAGACCCTTTCTAAGGCAACGGTTTAGGGTTGAGGGTT